GATTGATGTTGTTCACATTGCCAAAATACTTATTGAATTTGATCTTCATTCTCTTAGCCATTTCCTGTAAAGTCGGGTCCTCATTTTCACAACATCTGTCAATCATGATATAAATCCCATACACATCCTTCGCCATATCATTACTAGTGACATAAGAAGAACCCGAAACTTTTAAAGTTGTATCAAAGAACGACTTCAGAAAAGGAAGAAAGTGACAGGCATACTCCCAATCATCACTAGTGGGCAAACCTTTCACCTTGGAAAGCTCTTCAACAAATTTGCCATCTTGAAATTCCAATGAACTAAAAGCTGTTTGAAACTTCAAAGCTGCTTCCAACATTATATATGTCGAGTTCCAACGAGTCTCAACATCCAAACATACAAGACTCTTGGACTCAATTTTCTCTAGCTCAATACAACCCTTAAAACCGTCTCGGCCTTGCGAGGAGAAGACTCCTCACATAACGCATACCTGCCGAACGTATTCTAACAATCGAATCATTTATGTCTTTCAGCCCCTCTCTCACAATTAAACTCAATATATAGCACAACACCTCATGTGAAGCAACTCACCTCTCAATATCAAAGAATTCCGAGAATTAAGTCTCTTCTTCAAATATTGAATTCCTAAGTCATTTGAGCTAGCATTATCCACGGTGACAGAAAAAATATTTTGAATCCCCCAATCAATCAAGCATTTCTCAACCGCTTTTCCAATTATCTCGGCAGAATGACCCGAGATTTGACAAAAATTTAATATTTTCTTATGCAACTTCCAATCGGCATCAACAAAATGAGCAGTAAGACACATATAGCTCAAATTTTGACAAGAAGTCCATGTGTCTGTTGTAAGACACACTCTTGGAGATGTCTCCAAGAAATATTTCTTCAACTTACTTCTTTCATCCGTGTATAAATCATAACATTTGAGCCTCAAAGTGTTGTGCGACGGGATTAAGAAATTTGGCTGGATTTTATTCACAAATCGCCGAAATCCCTCATGCTCTACCAACTTGAAAGGCAATTCATCAAGAATAAACATGATCGCTAGTTCTTTTCCACTATCATCTTGGTCAAATTTCCAAGGACCCGAGTCACTTTTTTGCCTTTTCTCGACATTTGAATATGGGAATTCCTTACATCTAGCTAAATGACGATGCATCGAACTAGTTCCTTGACCACTAGCACAACCAATACATGCCCCACAATATATACATTCAGCCTTTTCTTCATCAGGAATATGTTTAAAGTGTTCCCATGCTGAAGATCTCGTCCTTCTTTGTGTGACACTAGAATCACTCACTTCAGACATTTAGTAATCCTTCTATCTATGACACTTAGAACCTGGAAAGTATTATCACAATCAGAAATATAGTCCTCAACATACTCTTGACAAATGCAAATGGTGTAGTAATGCATTCTACAGTTCATATACTTGCCAACATATTTACCAACTATGTTCTAGAGCAGATAAACCATGCAAATCTAAAACGTCTAAAGTAGGAAAGTCTTAGGTAAACCATCATCATAGCACTTTATAGCACTTTCTGTTGTTAATTGAACAAAAAACTCACCAAATTTTGGTGGAAAAAGATTAAATGTTCTGTTATTCTAGGTCACTAAGTTGCTGATTGGTGTTGAAAATCCCTAGCAAACCCTTAATGCGGCCCAGTGCAACAAGATACAACCTAACAACACAAAATACAAAAAAATTACCACATTAGAACAATGACTGCTCCCAAATTTTCTAGATATTGCACGAAAAGTTGTACTCTATAGTAAACAAACATCGAGGAATAACAGGACCAGAAGACTTAATTCTCGCACTGTCTTTCGACTTCCTATCTTGTTCAAGCTTCAGGGACTATCCTATTATTCTGTTCATAGCCCACCCATTTACATGTCGTATTTCTATTAAACGAATTGAATGATGCTCAACAGATGGCAGAGAAAGAAACAAAAGCACACAACAAATGGGTGTTTCAAAGGATCTGCCACCCCCAAAATAGTTGTGAACTATAATATCCAGAAGCCACTAAAATAATTTTACAAAACAAGTCTCAGAACACCATTAAAAAAATTCTGTTGTCTGTACCTCTGATCCTTTGTGAAGTTGGCACTAGTTACTTCAGCTGCCCCATGTGCACCTACAATGGAGCGAACACAGTTGGCCGATACCCCATCCCAAAATCGTATAGCACCATCTTTAGAGGCTGTAACATACATGCCACCACTAGAAGAATATCTTACCTACATGAACATAAACTCGACATTCTTAATTGTCTGCCATTCAGCCCACAGTACAATAAGGAACTATAAGAAAAGAAAAGACAAAGCAGGGGATCTACCTGGTTAATCGCCGCATTAACTGCAAATTCTGGGACACTTGCAGAAAGATAGCATTGGAATGTATTGACATCATACAAGTGTGGAATGGGATGATCAGTCCCCGTAATATAATTTAACCAAACTTTTCAGCTAACATTTATAGGAAAAAGGCACTCGTTAACTTGTTATTCGAGTGATGCCAGTATCATGCATAACACAAAAGGCAAGGAATTTATCAAAAGAAAAGATGAATGGGTGATATATTCACAGAAAAGAATTTATTGGTATCTAGTAAAACTTCTACAGCTATACTAGTACAGAATCGCATGTCAAGGTGACCATTTCGAACTGACTAAAAAATACAATAAATACAAAAGCGAGAAGATAATCACCAGCTAAAAGAAAATCGCCAGAAGGATAATAATTCGAAAGCCCGACGAGCTAACCCAGAAAGACAAACAACCGGTAAAAAGCAGCTGACCCATACAACGAACGGAGGAACACGAATTGGACACGAATTTCATCGGATCTCCGGAAGCCGACCCGAAATCAATCGTGGGCACAGGAATTTACCTTTGGAGGAAGCAGCGATGATTGAGAGGCCAAAAAGGGTAGTGAGAAAGACAGGGAGGGAGCGCTTAGGCGGCCATAACAAAGAAGAAGAAGAAGGGCACCTGTAGGACGCTGTTGCACATGAAACGAACCACTTGCAAAGGAAGACGAAACCGCACTGTCGAGTCACCGACAGAACTTGACGAAATCGTCGGACTTCGGCGCCGTGTGCTTGATCTTCTTGCTCTTGCCTCCGGCGACCAAATCCACCAAGACAGGAACGAGATTGCCGCCGAGAATAATCCACCAAGACAGGAACGAGATCGCTGTGAGCAGACGCTTAGATCTAGGTTTTTTGCATCCCTGCAGTCCGCGCGCAGAGAGGGGAGAGAATGGGAGGGAGACGGAGAGAGGGAAATGGGTCGGCCCAGAGTGTCAATGGGTCGGCCCGACCCTACCCTTACCCATTGATACCCCAAATTTTAAGGCCATATTCAAAGAAGATTTGGGCCCGACCCCAAAATACCTCAAGTTTTATAGCCGGGCCGGGCCGGCGCGGGTCGGCGCGGGTTTTGTGTACACCCCTACCTACTTCTCAATTAGGGTTTCCAACTAACTCTTGATTTTGGCTAGTGGCGACTCAAATTAAATGCTTAGTTTAGATAATTCTCGTCGCATGAAGTATGAGGCTTAGGAGTGCCTCGGTCCTTGGATTAATGAACTATTTGGTTTGTCCTTCAAACAATCAATTAATGTTCACATCCATCCATTGACAAATACCTCCAGGCCTCACCTATCAATTTTTCATCGACACACACGATCCAATTAGCCGCCTAAGTTCATCGCGCAATAGAAATCGGTTGTTTGAAGAAGGGACAGCGATGCATGCAATGTTTGACCGTCGTCATCAATCAAGGGCTTTCACTTGATAGGCCCAACAAGTTCGATGAAGCAAAATCCAAAACATCATGGACCAGCGTGTCCTGAAGGCCCGATTCGGCCCATTAAGTCCTCTTCCTGTAATCGTTTGAAAGCCCTTATGACGAGGAGTTGGTATCATTTTCTTATATTCGGGTGGATTGATCACTCGTGTCATTCGTTTTTATTGAATTCAATTCCATGTATTGGCCCGGTGTTTCACTATGCAGGCCTCGTCGGCAGCTTTAAAAGGGGGGAGAATTCGGTACGACGGTGTGCATGCGGTGCGCTTGACCCTCTTTCTTGTGCGCATCTCACGCGAGTTGTATCGGTGTGGATCTTGTAATTTCTTTCTACAAGATTAGAGGTCTAAGAGGAACTAGCTCATGATCTGTCGGAGGTAATTTGATTTTTTTACTTCTCTCCAAAGAAAGAGGAAATGCTTCAACAAATTTAACCTAGTCAGTGGGTGATGAGACTAGGTAGACTTTACTTAGATGATGCCACCTTAAGATAGTGGTAAATCGGCAGTCTAATTACTGGTAATGGATTGATTATATTCAATCGATACACGTTTAGACAATTGAACAATCACAATTATAAAGAGTTAAGTCTTTTCAGCTGGGAATTTGATAGGACATTGATTGATTCCTTGAACAAGGGAACCAAGCAACCGTTTTCCCTGGCACATCATCATTTTCATTATGTGTGGATTCATAACGGTTCAAATCTTAACCACACTAAAAACAGCTCTTAACTTTATTTTTTTTGGTATGTTATATTCTAATTCTCAACTCACTCTTAGACTTTTGCCGTACCTCTTTGTAGAGCGTGGGAGGCGAAACCCACATCTGAAACTAAACATCTTCACCCGTATCTTTTAAGAAAGTGGGGAATCGAATTCCCCACCTTCCCCTTTCCAAATTGCGAGGTGGGAATGTGTGTTCTTTGGCTTGTTGTGGTTAACACAAATTACAAGGATTATCCAACTCGTTGAGAGACAAAAGAAAGTTCACAAAATCGAACAAATGACCTGGGTAGTGCAAATGTAATCACAAAAGTACAGATCTCAGCAGCTGATTATGATTCTTTTAAGAATTTTTGCATCGGAATTTGACCAAGCATAAGACAGTAATGCCGCATTCTAATCAAGGCGAAAAAGGGAAAACAAAAAGAAAAGAAAAGAGTACTCAAAACCACGCGCAGGGGCAGTTAAAGCTACGCAGCGAAAATTACATCTTGCTCGAGGCCGCCAATGGCTGCCACCTGACAAGTTAAGCATCGGAGTCCTCAAAAAACTAAATCATTGTTACAAAACGCAAAAAGCTTCCCAACCTTAGACCCTTCATTCACACCTTCACCCTTCCTTACACCTTATTCAAATAACTGCATTCATGATAACATCCAAGACCTAAGATGGACAGTTTGTATTTACAAAGTCATCTACTTGCGTTTGCAGAATCAGGAAGTAGTTTCTCTGGAGTTGGGAAGTCTAAATCCATTCACAAAGCTTCCGCAACTGTCTTTAGTGCAAAGAGTCAGTAAGTGTTGCCCTTGGCAACATAATAATCGCTCCGCAGCATTTCTTCGTTCTTAAAATTTCTGAGGAGGGGGGCAGGGCGTAACCTGTGTCGGAATTCCTTTTCAACGTCGTAAAGCGGATTGCGACGTTTGAGCAGCACTTCCACTACGTCCTTCATTGTAGGCCTCATGGAAGGCAGCTTCGCAGTGCAAAGGATCCCAAGCTTAAAGACATTGCTTATTTCATCTAGGTCCGAATCGTGTTTGATGTCCTCGTCTATCGCATCAGATATCGGCTTGCCATCTTGGACGTGACGCCACGCCCAATCAGCGAGGCACATGTCTTCGTCCCCGTCACTAGCCTCCCTCCCGATGGTCAGTTCCAAGAGAACGACCCCGAAGCTATAAACATCGATCTTCTCATTAACTCTTCTTGTATGATTATACTCTGTAATTTAACAAAGAAAAGGCAAGACAAAACTAAATATTCTTGCTGGTAGGATATGAGGAAGGCGAACTTGCATAGCTGAAATAAACTCATGTTGAGTGAACAGACAAACCTGGTGCAAGATAGCCGAAAGAACCGGCAACGCCTGTCACAGTAGTAGCTTCTCCATGCTTGGCCAACATCCTTGCAAGGCCGAAGTCAGCAATTTTTGCGTTGAACTCGGAGTCTAACAGAATGTTGCTTGATTTCACGTCTCGGTGGATGATGGGCCGCAAACAATAGTGGTGCATATAGCAAAGTCCTTTAGCTGCTCCTAGCGCAATCTTCAACCTTTTGGGCCAATCCAAGATCATATTGTTGACGACACCCGAGACGGGCAACGATCTCTTCATCTTGTGAATCCAACGGTCCAAGCTTTTATTTTCCATGTATTCGTACACTATGAGTTTCGAGTTCTCACAAGAAATACAGCACAACAATTTGATAATGTTCAGATGCCTTATGTTCCCAAGTATCCCCACTTCTGCTACGAATTGCTTCTCCAGCTTCTCATCTAATTTTTGGTTATTCGAAATCCTTTTCACAGCAACGGCATCACCAGAAGGATTCAATATAATGCGATATACTTTTCCTGATCCACCCCTTCCAATCACATTATGCTCCTCCAATCCCGACAGAATATTTGATTCAGTAAAATTCAACCTTTGGAACGCAGTCAGTTCCAGAGTTGAATCGACAAGGTCCCTCTTCTTTCTACAAGCTCTGATTGTGAATAGTGCTGCCAACAATACGAATATTGCCCCAACGATGGCCAAGATCACGATCAAGGCGAGATTGGTCTTGCTCAATCTACTGGATTGGGCATTGCAGACATTGAGCCTCAAGAACGAGCTGGATGCACAGAGGCCGGGGTTGTTCAGGAAACTGGCGTCATATGTGGCATTCTCTAACTCCTCCGGGATTTGTCCGCTGAGGCGGTTGGAGGATAAATTGAGAAGGTTCAGCTTCAGCAGGCCGATTTCAGAAGGAATCGAGCCAGACAGTTGGTTTTCAGACAGGTCCAACTGTGTGAGCGCCGGTAGAAGACCGATTTCCCTTGGAATCGGTCCTGACAATCGATTGTGACTAAGATTCAGAATGCTCAAGGATTTCCACGAAACGATATCTGGGGGAAGATCCCCGGAGAGCTCATTCTGACCCAGCAAAAGCATCTTCAGAGAAGGAAGCTCGGTCAATTCAATCAGAACCGTGCTGCTGAGGAAGTTATTACTAGCATCAAACACCACCAAATTCTTCCACGAAGACACGGTGCTAGGAAACTTGCCGAAAAATCTGTTGTTACTTATCTCGATCCGAGTGAGGTTTGGGGATAGTTCCTCAGGAAGCTCGCCGGTTAATTCATTACCACTCAAGATCAAAGTCGTCAAGTTTGGCAATGTCCAGAGTCCTCCAGGCACAATGCCGGTGAATCCATTGCTGTTCAATCTCAAGTCGACCAAACTACTGCAATTTCCAAGTGACTCCGGCAACTCCCCGCCGAGATTGTTGTCCATAGCTGCCAACCCGAACAGCGTGCCGCCATGGCACAGTTGTTTCGGCAACACGCCGGTCAAGTTGTTGAAGGCCACTTCAAATCTTCTGAGTGTGGAAAATTTGCCGAAGTCCGGGGGTATTGTGCCCGACAAATTGTTGTTGGACAGTCTGACATCAGACAAAGCGGGAAGGCGGCCGATACTTTCCGGGATTCCGCCGGAAAATTGATTGAACTCTAAATTCAACTTGGATAGATTCTTGAGCTTCCCGAAATCTTCAGGTATGTTCCCCGTCAAATTATTCGCAGACAGATCGATCACAGTCAGGTTCGCCACGCTCACGGCCTGAGGGATCGACCGGGACACATTGTTCATGTACTCATACATCTCGCTCAAATTCCTCGGAACAAAAATGCTGCCTGGGATTTCTCCGGTCAACAGATTCATCCCCAAATCCAATAGCTCGAGAGACTCCATATCGCCGACCGTCTCCGGGATTCCACCAAACAGGTTCGTCTGCGGCATCGAGAAGCACCACAGCTTCTTCAGGGCGGTGAAGTTCTGCGGTAGCTCCGACGGCACAAACTGGTCGTTGTACCCGAGCCTCAGTTCTTCGAGATTGGAGAGGCCAAAAATCTCTTTAGGGTAAGTGCCATTGTACTCGGACTGGTAAAGGTGAAGGATCCTCAGTTTCCGCAACCTCGCGATCGACGCTGGGATGTCGAACGCGAAGCTGTTGGTGGCGAGAATCAGGACCTGAAGATCAGTCATGCGGTTGATATCGGGTGGAATAGGGCCCTCGAAGTAATTCTGGGACAGATCGAGGTACACGAGCTTGGAACAGTTGTAGAGAACTGTTGGAAACTCTCCGGGAATTTTGTTGTTGGAGACGTTGAACTTGGTCAGATTCTTGAGGTCGCAGATGAATGGTGGGATCGAATAATTTACGTTCAGGCTGACAAGATTGAGCTCGGTGATCGAACCGTCTTGGCATGTGATCTCGGGCCACGTGCAGTGGGAGGACGAATTGGAGGCGACCCAGTGGGCGAGGGAAGATGGGTCTTGCCAGGATTGCCTCAGCTTCAACAGGACTTGCTGTTCTTGATCTTGGATTTGAGACTCTGCAAGATGGGAGAGAAAGCAGAGGAAGACGAGACAAGGGATGTAGAAGAGGAAGAAGAAGATGTGAATATGAGGAGGTGATGAGGTTGGCCTCGGCATAATTGAAGGTGGTTCAGAGTCTATTTCTGGCTAGAGAGACACTCTCCGGTGTTGGAGATAGAGATCTATCAGCTCAACATGAAGCAAAACGTGATAGTTTGCTTTTGTTTATTGATCGGCAGAACCCCCACGTTTTTAACCTCGTTTTAAAGTGCTAGAATTTGGTGGGTCCTAAGATATAAGATGATGGTGTGTGGATGAATTTGTTCCTTTTTGTTCTTTTCCATTTCGCTCCACTAGTGTCTCATCGCAGTCAACACCTACAAGAGGGAAGAGTCAATTAGCCAATGATGTTCCCCTAATCTTAACATTGCTCAACCAGGCACCTTTGGATTCCTGTGGTTTATTAGAACCAGTAAAAGCCGGCAAAAACTAGATTTTCCAGATCAGCTTAACGGCTGGCCTGGAAACGACAAGTTGTTCCTCTGCAGAAGGAAAAAATGTTGCTAATTTTACATGTTCCACATCAGCATAAGCAGAGCAAGCAGGGGAGAAGGAAATGAATGTTATGAATGAGGACAAAGGTGGAAATTTGACAGACTTTGTTAGGTGACCAATCTCGGCTATGGAATTTCAACTCTCCTCAAACCTTTGATGGAGATAGCATTGTAATTACATGAATTAAATATCTATGCGTTCACATTCTTGGATCGTGACGCATATTCTATCATATCAATAATAGTTATTTAAAGTCACAGATAAATTGAAAAGTATAATGTATATCATTCAGGTGAACTTCCTCAGCGTTATCAGGCTTTTTAATTTCTTTAAACATTTAAGAGAAACCATGAAAACCCTACACCAAATCCCATTGAAAACACAAGTCTTCATATGATCATTATGTCGTGATAATGAGTTAAGTCTATACAATATTTTCACGATGTCTCTCTGTCTTGCGGCAATTATAATCTATGTGCACGTAACGTCAATCACCAGCAGAGATAGGTGTACATGCCTCCACGTGAGCTGTTAACCCTGCGAAAATACCATTAAAAATTGGGAGCTCGCGATTACAAGCACATCTCCTCCGAGGATTCACGGGAGCAGCTAGAAGCCTTCCAACTTTGAACGTTGACCGGAGACTTTTTGGTTTTTAAAGTAAGGTTCTTGTCGGCTTTTGCCCTTATCCCTTGCTTTGGTAGGAAACGAAGATGGGGGAAGACTCTGACCCTCCCTTTAGATTGGCTAACCGCCATAATTTCTATTTTGTGTTCATTTCGGACAATCAACTAATCAGGATTAAATTCTAACTTTAAATTTAAGATAAGTGAGTCGGAATTACAAAATTTCGGAATGTAATATATCAAGATGCTCAATATGATATCACGATCAGATGAAATAGTTTTTATCGAGAATTTTGCAAACCGATCCATTGTTGGATAGTGGCATAGCATGGGTGAAAGTTGAGGTCTGTTCCTTAGACTCATTGAAGAAATTATATGTAATGCGCGAAATCCCATCCATCCAAGGAGTTACGTATAGGTATTTGGCATTTTATTATTTGTTTTTGGTGGGGGAAATTAGAAGATTAAGACAACATGTAAGTGGGACAAACCAAATATAGCTAATTTATTGGCGATCCCATTATGTGATGTAGCGAGAACTTTAATCACACATACACTCAACAAGTAGTATTAACTTGATAATGTCTAACGAAAGTCTCTCTTCAATCAAGGTCAACCGTCTTCTTAAATTAATATCACCACCTAAATGATCAGATTTCGCGTTAACATGGTAGTCTGAATTATTAGAATTTACACGGTTCAAAAATTTAGGGTGAACACATATATCCAATCGACAACACACCCGCTTTTAGACAGTGTAGAAAAAGATGATTCCTAGCCCTCCAAATGGACACTTTTTAAAAAGTAAGGTGGATGATATAAAACTCGACCTACTAAAAAAAACTAAGAGAAAAAAGAATCGATCATCAAAGCAAAGAGCCGTTTTAATTGAGTTAAACCTAACATCCACCACAGGACTTACTATGTTTTGGTTTTGTTTTTCTCCCTCTCTCCCTTTTCCTTGGGTGCGTCATGATCAATGGTTTTGCTAAGGACGACATTAGCTAAGGATGGCAGAGAAATATTTACAAATATCTAGAGATTGCTTTCTTCTGATTAAGTTCTGCATTGAAATTAATCGACATTAAAGATTCTTAAAAATTGCTTCCTTATGATTATACCTTGCTTTGAAATTTATATTGAGATGCTGATGTTTTCCGAGGCGTGAAGTTCTAATCCCTTCACGGGCTAAGACCATTGAAAATCTCAAACCAGTACCTCCATGAAACATTCACTCCAAACAAATTTTCGTCCCAAGAAAATCCTTAAAGAGAACCTCTTTAACACATTTATTCAAGCTAATTTTCGCCTCATGAAAAATTCCAAATCGGTACTCTTGACCCAAATCTACCTTCCGTTAAAATACATACATGTCAACACACGTGGATTTCCCACGTCGATTCTGTCATTTTCCACGTTGGATATGTCTTACATTCGTCCGCCACATGCAATCCATCTTACAGTCATCTGTGATGTGTATTGACACGTATTTATTGTAACAGTATATTGAATAGAATATTAATCAATGGTAGATTTGGGTTAAGGTACCAGTTTAGATTTTTTTTTTTTTGTGTAACGAAAATCAGTTTAAGGTAAATGTGTCATGGGTTCCAATTTAAGAGTTTTTGTGAAACGAAATTTAATTTGAAGTAAATGTGTCATAAGGTATCATTTTGAAATTTTTAACGGTGTTAACCCTTCCTTCACCGATTCAACTTAGCTCACCTTCGGAATTAATGATGAGCAAGTCGTCTAATAAAATCCTACATACAAGGACCTTCTCAGATACAAAAGGAATGTTTAGCAAAAAAGAAAAGAAAATACACCAAAAATCATAACAATTATCAATGAAATTTGAAAAATCTTAAATCGATACCCTTGACCCAAATTTACTTTCCGTTCAAATGCATACATGTCAACACATGTGGATTTCCATGTTGATTCCGTCATTTTCCACGTCGGATCTTTCTTACAGACTATCTGCCATGCGTGATCCGTCTTGCAGTCGTCTGCCACGTGTGTCGACACGTATGCATTTTAACGGGATTATTGAACTCAATATTAACCGATGGTAGATTTGGGTCAAGGTACCAATTTGGATTTTTTTTTTGCATGACGAAAAATTAGTTCAAAGTAAGTGTGTTATGGGACTCTAATTTAAAAAATTTTGTGAGACAAAATTTATTTTGTGATAAATACATCATGGGGTATCAGTTTGGGATATTTAATAGTATTAATCCTTCCTTAACCAACTCAAGGTAGCTCAACTTTTGGAATTGGATCTGAGCAAGAATGCCTAATAAATCTGTATACGAGGACATTCTCAGAGCCAAAAGGAATGTTAATAAAAAATTGATAAAATTTATAAAAAGAGATGTAATTGGGTTCCAGAAATTGTTGCATAACATAACGAAGCTCTAAAACTACTGAAAATTATATAGTCAAGGGTGTCTATTAAGTCCCTTTTTTCCGAGTGATCGCATAACTGTTTTGTACTTATTTCACTCAAGCAGAAAAAAACTAGTCTTTGTTCTTTAGTCTTTATGAAAAAGAAGTCTTTGTTGTTTAGATTAACGTGTGGTGCTTGTACTTGTTGGCTTGTTGCAACCCACTAAAGTTTCATGCGATCCCTAGATTGGCAAGACGACGTCCTGAATGTGGTCCTGGTGATTCTTTGTAATGTCCGAGTCAAATGGCCAACCTTTGAATCTGCGCCATGCCCTCCTATTCTCCAATGTCACAGCTTTTGATTAGTTTCCTGATGTTCGCCTTCTGGATGAAGAGCAAATTGGTCATTGGTGGAGCTGAGTGCATGTGCAAATTTTCCACACCATGTCTCTGAATTTGAATTAATGAAAGGACAATATTCAACATTTTCATACAGTCCAATATATAAATTATTTATTCGAGGGTGAACGGTTCTCACCCTGGAACCGGAAACCACCCAGTAAGGATTGGTTCCACAAAATGGGAATCGGGAACCACCTACTGCTTTGGTTCTCGGGGAGATCCAAGAAACTGGTCTACGTATAAATACTACATATACATCACCTCAGAATCTGCTTTTAGAAATTGCAGGTTGTTTCGAGTTAAATAAAAAATGGGCGAACTTTGCAGCAGTTCAAAAATCACAATCTAATCTTACATCCACACACACTGGATCCTCGGTGACATTACATCCACACACACCCGGAAGATATTCGGAATATCTTCACATTGCTCCGGAATACGCGTCGGAGAGTACCGAGATACCTTTGATTCCCTGGGGTTTTATAACCAATAAACGACAAGTTTGTTCCTCCGCAGAAGGCAAAAATGTTGCGAGTTTCACATGTTCCTCCTTTCAACATCAGGATTAGCAGAGCAAGTAGGGGAGAATAAGATGCATGTTATGAATTAGGGTAAAGATCGAAATTTGATGGACTTTATTAGGTGGCCAATCTTGGCTACGCTGATGTGTATTCCAAGCAACACATGGCTTTCACATATCAATTTCTACTCTCCTCCTCGAATATTTGTGTGTTTACATTCATGGATGGTGACGGTGACCTATCTAAGCTCACTCCTTTTCAGTTCAATAAGGAAAAAAAAAGTGTAGCTATAGAACAGTAATTATTACAATGTACGATATCAGTTCAATAAGAGTTATTTAGAGTCATCGACAAACTGAAAAGTTGGATGTATATCATTTGGTTGAATTTCCACACAAACGTCAGACATTAAGATTTCTCAAGACATTTAAGCAAAATTATAAGAAGCCTATAGCGAATCCCATCGGAAAACCCAAATTTTCGTACAATTTTTGTGCGGCAATTGATTACATTCATCGCATCAATTGGAAGTAAAGTTTATACAGTATTTTCATGATAAATACCGGTTTCTCGTCTCGCCCTAATCATAGGTATACCACCAGGTGATCCGTTTGGCCTTGCGAAAACCATTAGAAAAAACGGGGAGGACGTGATTACCTGACCTACAAC